ACTACCCAGGATTTCATGACCTCCCGATTCCACCCTGAGCAGAGGGAGGGCTGCAGCCCACCGGGATGGGTCTGCTTCACTTTGCAGTCTGACAGCAGGCTTGGAGGGTCCTTCAGTCAGAGACCCAATCCGCACAGAGCCCAAACCATCATTCCCTCACACAGCAAATACTAATGAGTGCATACAATGTGCCAGGCACTGCTCTCGGCGCTGGACTCAGAGCGGTGACCAAAGCAGACAAAAACCCCTGACCTCACGGACTTTGATGTGCTGGCCTCCCATCAGTAACGTGAGGCTGCTGGCAAGAGCTACCCCAAAGCCTGCTGTCCTAGAGGGTCCCAAGTTCCAGGCAGAAGGAAGGTCTGAAAGTGGGAGAAGGGAATGCACAGCTTCTCCTGAGGAAAGAGCTAACTCCCAGGCCAACCCCTCCACTGGCTCCTGAGCTAGAAGCTATCAGGGACCACATATTTATTTATATATGGACATATGTATATTTATCAAAAGTGAACACAGAGCAGTGAGGAAAGCCCCTGGCATTTATGAAGCCACCAGCTGAAAAGTAAAGCTGGCTATCAGCCTGTTTCCTTGAATTTAATAAATCCAAAAGGCAGTATGGCACTTTACAGTTTAGGAAGCACTTTCATACCATTTGAGTCTCAGGTAGACAATTTTGGTGATCTGAGTCCCATATCCTCATTCAGTTCTGGGGAGTTCCACGCATCTGCCGCACGTCTCCCCACTTTTCTGCTTGAGAACATTTTCTGCATCTGGAGAGCCCAGCACACCTATACGTGCAGGAGGAGGCTGGGTGTATGGGAAAGCAATACTTCAGGGTCTACGGCAGGTCGTATGTCTCCTGCCCTTCAATCTAGGAAGGCCTGTGACTATGGTGGAAGTGACAATATGCAGCTTCTGAGGAAACTCATAAAAGGCAATGCTTCCAACTGGTTCTCTTGGGATGTGTGCACTTAGAGTCAAGCCAAGCCACCATGCTGGGAGGAAGACTAACTATAACTAGCCCACATGGAGAGAGGTCACTTGGAGGTGTTCTGCCCAGCCGTCCAACTGAGGGCCCAGCAACAGCTAGATGGGACTGAATGGGCCTTCAGGTGATTTCAGCCACTTGTTTGTGAGTCAGCCCCAGGTCTTCCCAGCAGAGGCTCAGACATGGTGGGGCAGAGACAAACCACTTCTTCAGTGTCTTTTCCAGTCTCCGAATCCACAGACTCACCAACATATTAAATGATGGTTGCTCCACCCCACTAGTTTGCAAAGATTTTTACATAGCAATAGAAACTGGAACAGGGAGCCAACAGAGAAGGCTAGGAGCCTTTGGATAGATGCTTTAGCCTCCTATTCTCTGGGCAGGTTGCTTTATGGAATCTTCGCAGAGGTCCTGATGGGAATGAGACCCCATCAACTAAAGCAACCCCCATCTCTGGATTTCCTCCTGCCCTGTCTCACTTTCCCTGCTCCCTCACGGGGCTTCTGGGGATTGCCCCCCAGACAAACTATCTACAGGCAAGCCGTTGTCTAAGGCTCTGCTCTCTGAGGAATCCAGCTCATCTAGCCTCAGGTCCACCCTGAAAGGTGGTTTTGTTCCTGCCCCCATTTTTCGGATAAGCAGACTGAGGCCTGGTGAGGTACAGCGACTTGCTCAAGGCCACACAATGAGTAGGAGGGATAAGGACCCAGGCTGTCCAGCTCTCAATCCAGCTAAAGAACTGTAGATGACAGCAAGCAGGCAGGCCTTGAAGTCTCCACAAGCTTTGCAAATGTTGCTCTCCAAGATAAGCTTGCTGGGAGGATGTCATGTCATTTACTGTCAGTTAAACCTGTGGCTGCCCTTACAGTATCAAATAAAAAACAAAACAGCAGAGCTATGAGCCGCCAGACAGATCACGCTCAGGAAGGTCTGTGTACCTTACCAGCCCCAGGCTAGGAGGATGTCACAGATTTACTCCCAGGCTGCAATCATCTGATCCTACAGCATCAAACAGATTGTTTATTAGTACATTTAAATATTATAGTTTAAAACTTGCTTCGAAGGTCAGCATGAAGATGTCCTTGCAACAAGTTTCTAGGAAATCTGTTTCTAAAGTATCTAATCTCATGTCAGATACTGCTTGAAGCACTTTATTAGGAATCATCTCATTTATAAATGAGGAAACTAAGGCACAGAGAAATCAAGTGACTTGTCTGTTGACTTGTAAATGGCAGAGTAAATAGTAAAATTTATAAATGCTAAAACTGCTTAAGTGACAAAATGGTAAAAAAAAATGGCTTTAAAAATGGTAAAATGGTGAAATGGCAAATGGTAAAACACCAGTTTGGTCAGGCAGTGGGAGACAAGGTTGGAACTCAGGGTCATGGAATCACAGAACATGAAGTGGGAAGGAACCAGGGGCAGAAACTCAAATGCCTGTAAAGGATGAAGGGCACAGGGCCCCGTGGTTGATGTGGAGCAAGAGAACTAGCTCTCTGGACCTGTCAGTTTGCAACCTAACAAGTCCAACATCTTTACTCTGTAGATGAGCACCTGAGGCTCAGAGAGGAGAGGTCTTGTCCAAGGTGACACAGCTTCTGCAAGGCCCCAAGGCTCTCCTCTCTGCATCCTGTATGCGCAGCAGAATGGAGACCCACACTTGAGAAGGGCACTTGTGAGCTATTTTAGATTTGAAGCCCTGAGGCAGGTCCTAGGCGGAGGGCTTTTAGCTAGAGGTGTCAGGGAGTTAGGATGTGACTGGGATAGCACAAGAGGCTGCCCCTAAAGGTTTGACTGAACTATGTAACCAGGAAATGCAGTGCTGCCCTTGAGATGAGAGGCATGTCCTTTCACTGAGACACCAGTGCACTAGTGAACTGCTTGCTGTCCTTCCAGAAGGCTGTTCCCCAGCTCAGGGCATTCGAATAAACATGGGCCGGGAGGCGACCTTTCCCTTAGGTCTCGCTTGCCATCGCCCTCTTCTGGCCACTCTTAGCACTAGAATAGCCTAAGGTGAGGCCAGCGGGTAGTGGGGGTGCAATCAAGAATGGGTGTGCAGGTAGCAAGGCCCTGTGCAGGATGCAAGGAGCTCCCAAGATCCTCTACTTTCCAGGCATTTCCTCTCATCCCATCCTGTCTGCAGAGTCACAGAACACGCATGCCCTGGTTATCCAGCATTTTCTCCAAATTTACTGGAGAAAAATAAGGTCCCAATACGCAAACTAGTTTCAGAGTTATTCCACAGGGCTGAGACTGGGAGCTGGGGAGCTCTCACAGACAGAACTATGCCTCTTTCACCCAGATTTGCTGCTCCCAGCATATGGGAGGTCCTCAGTACATTCCTGAACAAATTGATTGCTTCTCAAGTCCAGGCCTCAGATGCCTACCCTGCTCCCCAGAGTCTCCAGCTCCCAGGGCAGGTGATGGTTGATGCACCCGTTTTAGCTGCTGTGCCATTTTCCCAGCCTCGGAGTCCCTCTTTTCAGGGAAGCCACCATCCCACCAACGCTCCAGGCACCCCTCTTGGTCATAAACTAGGTCCCATGAGGCGCTACAGTTACTCATTCAGGGCATGCTACTTGCTGATTTTCTCTCAGATTACCCAGCAACCAACTCTTCTGCTCACCTTTCCAATTCAAAAGCCCGACAGGGTACAGCAATGGGTGGGTATTTCGGAGGAATCTTCCTGCAGGGCCCCTCAAGCCTGCTTTGCTCTTAGCCTTCACAAGATTCTCAGGTCGCATAGCTCCTGGGGCCTCCAGCCTCCTGGCAACGTGGTCTTCCCCTGACTTCACCCAGTTCTGACCTGCCCGACCCCAGCCTGGACCCCAGCTGCTGCAGTAATAATACAAATTATTACAGTGCCATAATCATGGTTCTTTTTGCAGATGATTGCTCCATAAATCATGAATTCCCCTATAATTACTGCTCCCAATTAGAGGTGAGGAAACCCCGACTGCTAGGGTTCTCCAGGGAGTGAAGAAATGGGGTCACTGGCCCATGGCCCTTCCACAGACGTGGCGGACCACCCCTTGACCTTCTGCGGATGGAGGCTGCGCTCTCCCGTCTGCTCATCAGTACCCACGTGCCCGGCCCGGGCCAGAGCGGCTCTGCCGGCCTGAGACCATCCTTTCCGGGAGCGTCAGTACCCCTCTGTCCCAGCGGGGACCTGCCTCACACCCACAGGCTCCCTTTGGAACATGCGCTTGGGCCTTCAGGGAAGCGACGCTTCAACTATTCTTGCTCAGAAGCTTCTCACTCCCATCGGGACATACAAGACGGTTGGTGGCTCGTGGGAAGAGGGAGCTGCAGCCCCGGCAGAAATTTGCGCCAGAAAGATCCGCGCGTTCCGGGGCGCCGCTTCCTGGCGGGATTAGAGCACCTGCCCGCTTCCATCTCCGCCCGCCCGGGGCGACCCTCAGGCCGGGACCTTGCCCAGGGACTACCGGGAAGTGTGCCGCAACTTAGGTCGTGCACGTTCACCCTCAGCTACCCCTTTCCTTTTGCCTGCTATGAAGCTTTTCGGGTTTTTTATTCTCTTCCAAAGAGCAGCCGCAAAATCTTAGGAAACTTTGCTTAAAACTGACAGATACCGTGAAATTGGAGTCAGCCACTCCGTCAGAGCCTGGGAACGCCACGCCCAGCCCGCTCCTCTGCTCCAGCCCAGCGCGCCCGGCGGTGGCCCGTGCTGACCACCTGGCTGTCAGGAGGTCCGGACGCCGGCCCCAGCCACTGGGAGCCCTCTCGGCCTGTGCACCCGCCCCGATTCGACTCGGGAGCGCTCTCGCGGCCGCCACCCTCTGTGCGCTGCAACTCGGGCGCCGGAACGTCCCAGAAAGAGTGTATTTAAGCAGCTACTCTGGGGCATTGTTTTCCCGGGGAGCCAGGGGGCCCTCGGGGAAGGGGAAGGGTGATCCGCCCCAGCGCAGGCTCGCCCACCACTCATTTGCATTTCAAAGGCAAACTTCTGCCGGGCTATCCCGGCGGCGGCGGCGGCGGCGGCGGCGGCACCTACCAGCTTTGCACGGGTCGTGGTAATGCTCCAACTGCTGCTCCGCGCCCTCCTCGCCTTCCAGCGCCGAGTAGTCCAAGGCGGCGTCCGAGAGCGGTAGCAGCAGGATAGGCAGCAGGGGCACGAGGGCCCCAAGCGCAGTCGCCCGGGGCATGGTCGTCGGGGCCGGCGGAGAACGAAGGAGCTGCATGCACGGGAAGCTCTCCTCGGGAGAGGGACGCGCACAGGGTCGGAGCGAAAGCGGCCCGGGCGCAGCGATTATGCGCGGCTGCCCGGCATGGCTCGAGCGCGGGGCGAGCGGAGTGCGGCGTTCCGGTCCGCGTCGGGGCTCCAGGAAGCCGCCGCTCGGAGATACTTGCCCGGCGGCCGAGGTTGCAGCGGCTGCGACTGTGGCAGTGGTGGCGGTGGTAGCAGTGGTAGGAGCGGTGGCCGCTCCGCCCCGCTTCGCCCGGGCTGGACCACACAGCCCTCGCCGGGCAGCCAATCACTCGGGCGCCCGAGGCGAAGCCCCTCCTCTTCCCGGCACCTCCGCAACAAGGGGAGCGCGGTGCAGATGCTAAAGGCAAGGACCCGGGGCCCGCGGCGCTCCCACGGACCCGAGAGTGCCCTTCTCGAGCGCCACCTCGGCCTCCGGCCCCGGGAACACCGCTCCTAAGATCAAGGCTGGACTTCCCGCCTTTATTCGACCAACACACTTTACAACTCCCCGATGCACACGTGGGCAAGGGTAGGCAGCCGTGGTTAGAGCTCCCAGCCTGGGATCAGGAACGCGACGTGAGCGGTCCGCATAACTACCAACTCGCTCTGTGCTTTCGGACAATCGTTTCTCTGTAGGGATGGAGTGGATCTTCTGTCTGGTCGCTTTCAGCACAAAAAAAACCCGCCAAGGCTTATAGTTCCCTCACTGTTCTCAACAGCTCCTCGCCCAGAGATGAAAGGCTCTTGCTGCGGCATCCACCTAACCTAACGTAGTGGCTGGTGATGAGCGGCTTCGGGAAGAATAATTTAAAACGACGGTAACCCTATCCTTTAGTAAAAGTCTGAGATGCTTCATACAGGCAAAACGATTGACAAATGAACAGTTATACATGCTATTAAATTTACAGACATGCTTTATTAAATAAGTCACTTACCATTAACCTGATGGAATAAAAACGATCGATTTCTGAAGTCTGGTTATTTTTGCCAATTAAAAACATATGCCCAAATAATTTAGGAGAATTATCAAAAGATATTTGAAACCACTCATATGATGTACCTTAACAATTGTCAGAACTAGGGCATATTGATTTATAGACATAAAAAGTACTATTACCATGAGGCATTTCAAAGAGCTATTTATGCAAGCAAAATTGCCAAATCAAGAAGTAAAACACACCAGTGTGGAGAAGAAATATTCGGCATCACACCCAGTGGAATCTTTTTTCATTTAAACGCACGCACAAAATAGAACTAAACTTCCCTTTTGGACTTCCTCATGGTTTCACTGTCATTAATGACAAAATAGCTACAGGAAGTCCAGAGCTGGGCTTTTTACACAGGACTTCAAATTCCTTGCATTATGATCATCTATCTGTCTTCCACCTATTAATTAGGAATAACAAGTCCTTCAAACCAGTAAAGGTTTTAAGGTTAGCCACTGGAAGAGTGATGCTGGATATTTTGTCTTGAAAGAAATAAAGTTGACCCTGTTTCATACTGAGTTTCATCAAATGGGCATATACAGGATGGAGCAAGTTTGGGCAGGATCTGGTTAGGAGCTTACAGGTGGGAGGAAGGAATCTGGGGGGAATGGACGTCACCAAATGGCAGGGAAGGCCAAGTGGTCATTAAACAGGCAATAGGTGTAGGAAGAGGTTGAATGGCATTTCTGCCTGAATGTTGGAAGAGGTCAAACCCAATGCCATAGTTCTCTGCATTCAACCCAGTGAAGGTCACCACCTGTCAGTAGACAAGTCCACAAATTCAACATCTAAAACACCTAACAGACTTCCATGACACTTCCAGGTCTCCAGATGGCATTAGGCAAACAGCCAACTGGCTTCATTAGCAGGGAATTACTGTGGAAAACAGACAGGCAACCTCTTATACAAACACTGAGGCTGTGAGCTTTTGCTGCCTCTAATCCCCACCTCGTAAAGTAGCTGCCAGGTCTTCCCACCAATACTCTTTGTCCAAATATTTTGAGGACAGCAGTGCTGCTGGATTTTATGGGGTGCAGTTTTATGTCAGAAGCTCCATTTAGATGCTTTGGCTATCAACAAAATATTTGGATCATAGAGTAGGTTACATAGGAACAATCGAAAGGGATGGCTAATCTTTCTTTTTTCAGTTCTATAGTTCCTGATTTCACTCACCACGTTATATATTAAAATCTACTGTGGGTTCACATAATTCTGAAAACACATTTTTCTTTTAAATTTAAATAACAAAAAATTTTAAGAGGTAGTATTAGAATAAAAGGCTTTATAATCTAAAGCTGTTCAACTTACTTCCACTATTACATTCATAATTATTTGCAGGTTTCCTCCCTTGTAGCTCATCATCCTGTGGAAAACCTGCAAGAGGATACAAGCTTTTCGCTCTTTTTGGTCAATGTCTGTTTTCCACCCAACTCGTTCCGTATATCTAGAATGGCCCAATTGATGCAGTTCTCTTGCAGTAGTTCTCAACACCCCCCCACACACATTTAGCAAGTTTATCCTCCTTGCCTATTCCACACCAGCCACTTACTCCTAATAATCAGCATCGTCTCCTCCAGGGCAGGGAGCAGAATTTACAGAATAAAGTGGGCACTTTCATCTGTTAGCTCATTCCTTCATTTACATGACTGACCACTGAGAAGGTACTTCTGAGTTCTCTGGAGAAGGTAATTAAAAATATTGTTTCCATTTTTAGCAGCTGTTTAAAAACCCTTTGTGACTCTCCAAAAACCATTTTTATCCAAGCTCCTCAGCGTTGCACACCAGGCCCTCCATCCACCACCACGACTTTGCTTTCACATTCCTAGCCTTGGCTCCTGCCACCTCCATTTCTTCACTCTTGCTGCATAACACACCTTGTGGTCATCCTAATAATCTTGCTGCTTCACACCTCCACGTGTTTGCTGGGGGCAACTGGATAACTACATGGCCTGCATCCTCATGCCAACAACTATCATAGCAGCTACCGCACTTTTGACACTTACCTATTTATGGCTGTTTTACCCTACTGGTCTATAATCAACTCCAACCTGACAACTCCAACTTGGAACCACCTTCCATGTCTCTCTCTAGACCCTCCCTGCTCTTCAATGACCTTAAAGGTCAAGTCCCATAATCTTAGTGACTTAGACAGAACCACTAAGAATAACCATGACACTGGCCAGTTAAAGTGACTTACATCAACTTCTCCCTATAACCATCACCTCCACTTTTTAAATTTGACACTCCTGTCACCTAAGAATGCAGAACTTTGAAAAAAATTTAAATAATTAGCAGACTATGTTACCATTGACTCCGTATGTCCCAATGTAGGCTTATGCACTTTTCTGATGTTAAATTGTACATTAACAGTTTAGTGAAACAGTTCTCACTTTAAAATCCAGAACTTGGCTGTACAAGATTCCCTTATACCCCTAATTTTCCAACCACACAAAAAGTGTTCATTAAGGAGATTAAAAGTAATCCAAACTTGTACCAATTTAAACTGCTTGGCTAATGAAAATTGTCAAGTATTAGTGTTGACTAAAGCAGTTAATAAAATCGGAGGGAAAAAGGAACTGATAAGGCTGACAAGGATTTAAATGAGAAGCTAAAACTGGAGATGAAAAACAAAACGTACAAATAGACCTGGATAAATTAACCACTAATTTTGACGTAACCCAAACACACAAATCCTTTTCATTGGTTTGAACACTCGATTTCAATATGACCATATGTTATCTGTTCCACAGGCTGGAGAGGTGACATCCTCATTTTAGTCACCACAGTCAAGACAATAGGACTGTAGGCCTGATTACTTCTGATCTAAAAACAAGACTCTTTAGTGCCTCTATCTTACCTGTAAATGCAGCTGTCTGGCTATCAGCTTCACAGGATGATTGTGAGGGAACATACGTGAAACTGCCTTGAAAAATGTATTATCAATCAGAATGACAGGCATAGGGGTAGTGGGGTTTGAATGTAGGAGTTGGAGTTTGTATATAAAAAGTCAAAATAATAATTTTAAGACGAACCTTATGCATTATGCCATTCTTTCAATTTCCTTTGTTTTTTTCCCAAAATATAAAGTTGGAGAGAAAACAATGTTTTAAATCTTTTGTTTCAGGGACCCACTGGCTGTTTTCTGTTATACTGGAATACAACCATGCTTGAGGTCATGTGCTGTCTGTCTACTGTGACTGTTGTGCTACCATGGTAGAGTAACTGAGACAGAGACCATATGGCTCTCAAAGCCTCAACTATTTCTTTTACAGAAAAAGTTTGCTGACGCCTGCTTTATTTAACTGTGGAAAGCTATCCAGTAATCCCTTCATATGAACGCCAATAATAACGGGTCATCCCTATGCTTGGCTTACCTGCTTCAGAAAGGAAAGAAAGAAAGCATCCAAGGGAAGTACATTTAACTTTTTATTACTTTTTAAAAATCCAATTTGTTAGGTTAACAGACTAGATTAGAACCTCAAATGTATTTGATACATTATATACTGGCTTTCTTACTAAAAGGCCAATTGTGTGGCCTACACAAACCAAAGTTGTGTACAAAATGGAAGTGACCACCAAGCAATGTTTCCTTCCAAGTCTCACCGATGGTCCACGCTCTGTGGGAATTTATAGCTCCAAGTTGGACACAGCTGAAAAGCCCAAGTGGATTGCTTTTCCAAGTATACTCTGTCCTTGAAACACAATTCCATGTTATTTCTTCCTTGCCTGAAGCTCTTACTTACAATGTTTCTAACTTTCAAATGACCTAAACTGAGGAACTGTGGTGAACACACAGAACACTGCTTTATCAATTATTTGCAAGCCTCATCACCAATACTTCAATGTAAGCCACTTTCACAATTTCCATTTCCTCATACAGTGAAACGAGAATTTCATTTTTACCTGTCTTTACACAGTTCTGCCTATAGCTTCAGTAACAATGTCAAATCAGATGGCTTTTAGAAAATACTTATGAGAACTAGAGTTCCTCCTCATACTGAATTTAAATCTTACAAATTTCTGCATCTATATGCTAACTTTCTGATCTACCTGGTCTAGTCTATTTCCGTACACACTCTCAAACAATCTTTATAAATTTTCACTTCTCTGATCTCTTTTAACATCTTGATTGCTAAAATATAGCT